CGAGTACAGCCTCTCGGTTGAGTTTCCTGCTTTGTATATTCATTTTTAAAGCTTTTGTAACACTGCATAATGATATGATACTTCAACAAACACACAGCAACAATGATGAGGTAAGAAGAGAAAGACAAAGAGTAAACCGTCAGTTAAATGGGAACTGATATGAGAGCGTCCGGGTCTTCCCAGAGGCTTTGAAAAACATACAAAGTGCACTTAGTAAAGCTATCTCACCCAAGGTTTCTAAAATCCTCCAATGTGGAACTAACGGACACTAAAAACAGAAAACGTCATGTAAAAAGAGGTGGAAGAAGTGGCGAGTGGTTTAAGACAAGGATAGTAACAATAGTCACGAGGAGAACACTACCGTTCAGAGGAGAGACGTGTCGATTATGTGCATGTTTCTGCTGTGTGAATGTTTGTTATTTTCAATGGCTGCAGCATTGGCAACACCCAGGGAGAGCGAGCTTGAAAAAAGATACAGTAGCCTCCGCTCTGCACAGGCAGGTCACAGTGTCCTGCCTGTGTCCACAGACACACACAAGGGGTTAAAGTTCAACTCCCCAGGTGTGCAGTCGTTCAGTGAGAACTCAAGAACACATGGGCACAAAATACCCATAGTGAATCACATGAAATAAAAATCCTACAGACTGTCAGGTATAACTGAGAAAGAAGATATTAAATGCCATAGACCATTTTCTTTGAGATGAAAAAAAAAAAAAAAAAAAAAAAAAAAATCAGTTCTCCCACAAAAAAGTAAACTTCACAGATTGTGGTTAATGGCTATGTATTGTGTCTCATTTTTGATTCTCAGCTTGAAATCCTTAAAACGAAAACAAAACAAAACAAAAAATAGGGGGTCCTGCCTCCACCTCAGTCTCACACACTGAGCAAATTCTTTGCAGAGGTGAGGGCAGGACCAGAAATAAATACATTCATCACTGACAATAGACATTTGATAAAAAAAAAAAAAAAAAAAGAAAAAAAAAAAAGAAAAGAACACAGTCAATAAGTGTTTGCACCAACTTTGTATGAGGCCCAGCCAGCCAGAGGTTTGTGCTGCTTTTACCCACAGAACACAGGCAGCTAAAAAAATAAAAACATCATAAAAGCGACAATAACATTCACAGTTAAGACTACCAGATAAGCCTGTTTACATGCAGTGAACAAATCAAAGCTACATTCTCCAGATAGGTTTTCGAGAACCGCCAGCATAAGAGATGTACCATGTTAGTTAAAACCACCCAAATCATTCAAGCATCACCCACCCACTCCTACATATTAAGAGACCCAAGCAGCAGAGGTAGTCCTCAAGTGCATTTGGGTAAACACAGAGACACAACACTGAGCTAAAGACCCTGACTAACAATGCCTTTTGATTAATACGTCAAGGATGCACTGCGCACCCCCATCGTCTGCCGTCCCATCTGAAGACAGGCCAGAGGGCAGGGGGACTGGGGCGCAGGGTCACCCCAAAGCCAGCTGGCAGAGGAGGGAGGGGGATGGTGGGGCGGGGTGGCCCCTAAAATCCACACACCCCTCCTCTACATTGAATATGCAGCAGTTCAACCCATGTTTGACGCTATGCTTTTGTTTTGGCAGCAACCTCTGTGGAAAAGCATCTAAAAAACAAAAAAAAAACAAACACAAAACCACCTCTCTGACTGGCCGAGCCTCGACTGAGGTCTGTAAAACTGTAAGAGTTTATGTAAACAATGAGATAAATACATATGTTTCTTTTTAGAGCCACACATGGTTCCATAATCATTCAAATGTGCTTTGGTTTAAAAAATAGTTTGTGGATTTGGGTATGAGCTTTTTTTTTTTTTTTTCTTCTTAGTTCTTTGTACAACTTTGCAACTATTTCTGAACATACTGTATTACTAACTAAAATGTAGACTTGTTTCGAGCTGCCTCGCCTTTGTCAAGGCTCTTTGTGTTAGTTGAAAAAGTACCCCCCTGTTTGTTTTAAATATGAAACTAGTGTTTTGCTTTTCCCATGATTAAAATACAGAGAAATCGATACAATACTATGTCTTACAAATGTAGCTGAGAGTCTGCATTCACAGATGCAGAACAATCCCTGAAGTATTTGAATAGTAGTAGTACTAGTAGTAGTAGTAGTAGTAGTAGTAGTAATAGTAGTAGTAGTAGTAGTATGGTCACAGTTTGGAGTTCGTAGTTTTTTTTTTTTTTTTCTTTGTTATGTCAAACAAGCAAGCATTCAAATGCAGCTGCAAAGTCTTCTGCAGAGATGGCTAGAGATCTTGTTGTACAAAAACACCTTTTGCATGACAGACATTATGCTGTACTGCAGTAAGTGCCGACAAGTACAATAACGTTTGAAGGCAATGCATTGTGGACTCCCTCTTAAGCTAGAAGAGGTCACAAGCAACAATGGATCAGGCGATAAATAACATGTTTGTGGTTGGGGGGGGGGGGGGGGGGGGGGGGGGAGTGTGAAAAATTCATAGATGTACCATGCAATCACTAAACAGCAACTGCTTCAAACAGCAAGACACCGACATCCAACATAACAAAGTAACAACTCTGGGAGTCCAGGACGCAGGTACCTTAAAACGGTAGTGATGTTTGTAACTGTAGCTGCATCCCTATGATAAACATTTCACAGACCATAACATGAGGACGAAAGAGGAATTAAAAAAAAAAAAAAAAAAAAAAAAAAAAAAAAAAATCAAGAAGACAGATAAACCAACATAATAGAGGAATGCCTATACCAAAAACTTGTAGTGAAGGTTCATGCTCCACAGTGTAACTGTTAAGAGTAGATACACTGGACAGGTTTCAGTGAAACCGACAGACAACAGAGGGGCGATTCCCAACCTATGGTTGCTTATGATGAGGTAAAGCTTTAGAGGTTAAAAATAATTTAAAAATCATTCTGTGATATAATGAAATACAATCAGGAACAAAAGGATGCTGCAGGAGACCGATGAGCTGTCCAGCTGTCCAGTGCATCTCTGCCTCTCCCTTCTTATTACAAGTTTTCACAAGTCTGGCTCAAAAAACTAACAAGCAACTTGAACTTCACATTAAAATTCTGATTATAATTCCTATCTTTTTTTTCTTTTTCTTTTTTTGGTCTGAACAGAACACATACAATGTCATCAAGTCCTGTTTTTAAAGTCAGGGAATATAAAGTGATAAGGACTCTGGAAAAAAACAAAAACAAAAAAACAAAAAAACAAAAAAACAAAAAAACAAAAAAACAAAAAAACAAAAAAACAAACAAAAAAAAAAACATGTTCAGAGAACACATTTTCTAACTTTACCAGTTTGGTTAGGTGGTAAAGTTTACATTATACCGGCCCACCAATCAGCACAAGCTTTCCTTGCAAACCACAAGAACCTTCCTCAGTCTCAGAGTCATTGGCCAAAACTCCATCAAAAGAGTGGATTTCTTTGTCTGGACTTAGAATATAATTCATAATTTGTTTTATACAGCAAAAAGAAAATCAAAAGTGAAATAATTTAGTATGCTATATATCTTAAGTACATCTTTTTAAAAACTTTGGTTATGAACTTGTCTAGCAATGTTTGTTAGTTAGCTCTGTTCTCCTCAACATTCATAAGATCTTTGGAACACTATACATCTAAACTAACTAACTAAACAACCACTATTTGCTCCAGGCAGAAGCTACAGTACACTTTGAGGTGGGGCCACACTGAGCAGGGCACCCGGAAAGCTATATTTGACAAGTACAAACAACAGCTAAAACAATATTAATGTGTAAAATCTATGAGCATTAAAAAAACCTGTGTTGAGAGATGGGCAGGTTAAAGCATTAGGTGAAAAGTTACCATAATCTACACACTTTTTACAATTAATTACATAGGAACTTTCAACTAATCAACATAGAGTTCATAAGAGTAATCAGAGGTAGCGAGGTCACAAGCCTATATAAATAGACTTTTCTTTTTTCTGAGGGGAGGAAAGCTATACAGACAAAAAAATAAACGTACCCACTGAACGTAATGTTCAGTCTAAAACACCCTCTTCTTACCACCCACCCCGCCCCACCCAACCCCAAATCCCTCCCCTCCACAAGAAAAATCCCAAGACCTTCCAGTTTAAACATTCACTGAAACATTACAAGTTCTTTAAGTAAAACAAGTACCTCAAGGGGTTCATCTTTCCAACCAGGAGTCATTCCTAGAAGCACTAGCAGGCAAAACCTAAAACAATGAAAATCCTCTCTCTATCACCATCACTGTGAACAGCTGCAGAGAGGACTTTTGAATATTTGTCGTCTGTAAAAACTAAAATTTATTCCAATGTCATCCCACCATGAACCTTCTTTCAGGACTTTCAGTTAAAGCATGGAGATGGTCCCAAACCCAGTTATCCCTCCTCTTACATACAGATCCCCATCACCAACGTAAAGGATATAAAGCTGTCAGGGTAAAAATAACCTTTTTGCTGAATTATTGCCAGTATTGTTTGCACGGGTTTTTGGTCAAAATAGCAATGGAGTACAGAGTGGACTCTCAAGTTAATCTGTTTGAGGAACAATCTGAAAAACTCAAAGACTCAATGCTCAAAAAGTAGAAGAGAGGAAGGCTGCTGAGGGGTATGAGGTGAGGGGGGCTTGACATTATATTAGTACCCACATTCACATTTGACAGACTTGCAACGCAGACCAGAAGTCATGCCACTCCACATCATGGCTTCGTGACTTTGGAGAGTGACAGGAGTAAATTGTCCCTCTAGAACTCCTGAGAGGTGAGCAGACGATAGAAACGATGACACGATCCTTGCATCAACAAGATCCCACCGTCACCAAGAGCCCACTGTGGCAAACAGCAACATCATTCACTTAGCCAGGGCGTCGTAAACTGGAATTCATATGTAGAATGTCTGCATGTGAACGTGTTCGTGTGCGTTTCTTTGCTTTTGAGATGGAAAAAAAAAAGAAAAAGAAAAAAAAAGAAAGGTAGAGAAATTTTTTTTTTCTATTCCCAGAGTTCTTTGGCTTGATGCATTTCTAAGAGGGCGAGGTGTGCATTCTCAGGTGACTGATGAGGTTGCGCTGCTGGGTAAACTTCCCCCCGCATAGCTGGCATTCGTACGGCTTCTCCCCAGAGTGAACACGCATGTGCTCTGTCAGACGGTACTGGCGTGTGAAGCGCATGCCACACTCTTCACATGCAAACGGCTTGAGGCCAAGGTGGCTGCGCATATGGCGCGTCATGGTGCCCCTCTGGGTGAACATTTTGCCACAGATGTTGCAGGGGAAGGGCCTGGTCAGCCAGTGGCTCTTTTCATGTTGTCTCAGCGTTGCCGGGTCTTTGTAGCTCTTACTGCAGACTGTGCACTTGAATGGACGCGTTTCAGAGCCAAAGTTGGAGGGACCAACAGGGGCAGAGAGGTCCTCGGCCTCCTCCTCATCCTCCTCTTTCACAAAGGTCCCTCCCTCCTCTTTGATGTAGAGCTCATCCTCAGTGTGTGTCTCCACGTGAGCGTTGAGCTGCTCAGAACTGGGGAAGCCCTTACCACAGGGAATGCACACATAGAGGTTGTCTCCGAATGCTGGCTCAAAACCTTCCTGCCTGTACACATAGTTGGCGCCTGCCGTTCCTCCTCCACCCCCTGCACTCTCCCCATCACTTTGACCGCTCTCTTCACTGTGGTCCTGGCCGTTCTCTCCTCCTTCTTCCTCATCTTTACACTGGAAAGACTGATCAGAGGTGAAGCTGCTACCACTGCCCCCTCCAACCCCAGACGAGCGGCCATCTTTAGGACCGACAATCACACCATTAACCAGGGGCCTGTCATGATCTTCAGACTTCAACCCTGATGCCTCTCTCTTAGGCCATTCGTTCTTGCGAGCACCCTGCCGGGATTTCTTTTGGGGTGGGGGCCCATCTGGCTGGTTTTGGGTTTCCTCTGAGGTTTTAGAGGAAGAATTGAGCTCCATGGTTTCTGAGCCACAGGTGTCTACACCTGGTAGGGTGGTCGAGGAGTCGTCCAGTGAGGCACTGTTGGTTGTGGATACTGAGGCAGATTGAGGAGATTCTTGGGAGTTGCTGTGTGGGCTGAGGGCATCAGTGGCTGTGCCCGCAGAGGGAGGGCTCTTCTTGGACAGGTCTAGTCCAAGGTCTGGTTCCCCAGCACTTCCTCCACTGCTGAGGTTACCATTACTGCTGCCATTCCCCCCATTCCCATTCTTCCCAGAGCTGCCAACAAACATCTCATCATCTGAGAGTTTGTCCCGAAGGCCTTCATCTGGCTGTGGCTGGTCGGCATCGGAAGGGGTTGGAGGATAGTGGTTGTTGGGGCCAGCAGGGGTAGAAGAGGAAAGGCGCTGGTTGTTGAGGCGTAAGCGGCTAAGGGGACCTGGAGTGGAGGGTTTACCTGGCAGGGGTTTCCCACCACTGCGCTTGAGCTTCTTTCTGCACAGAGCAGCGAGGTCATGGAGCTGGAGGTAGCTGGCTGCGGTTAAGAGGGCACTGAAGTTCTGCTCACTGCTCTGGTCTGATGAGGACAGGAGCTTCCCAGTGTAGATGAAGTCCAGAACTTGTCTGAATACAGAGGGATTTACCATCTCTGTATCAAGGTTAATGAGGTTATCGTGGAGGACCAAAGACTTAAAGTAGATGCTGCTTGCGGCCAGGATGTTCTTGTGGGCACGGAAGAGCGCATTCTCCACCACGATGATAACGTCACACAGGAAGCCCTTGGCTCTCTGCTGGTTGAGTTGCAGCAGCAGGTGTTTGGCATGATTTGGCAGTTCCATTTCCACCTTCCTTCTTTCCTTCTCTCTCTCTCTTCCTACACGAGCACCACCTGAAGCTGAGAGAAAAAAAAAAATGAAAAGGTCAGCGTTACATTGCAGACATGAAGAAGCATTAGATTGATTACTTGATCAATAACAGGTTGTTCAATACAATGTGTAAGCCAGAGTAAATAAATGACAGAAGAGTAGTGGTCTTTAACAGAGGACACCGAATGTTTCCACACTCAAGTTGGAAATGTATGAGAAAAAGTCAGAAAATGACGACCAAGGAACGTGTACGAGTTCAATGTAAAGGCATGGTAGAAAAACAGAGATTGGATTGTTCAAAGTCAGTCATCAAGTTTGGTTTAGGTTTATTGCAGCCTTCAGTAGGATTAAAGTGTAATAGAGGTTTAAAAAAAAAAAAAAAGCTCCAATGCTTCCATGTCTGTCATATGTAACAATTCAAACTGCATGCGCCATGACTCCCAGTGTGAGGAAATCAATCTAAGCTTTTAGCTCTCTCAGGGAAATTAGGAAAACTGTTAGCACAGCGTGCCACATAATCACACGGCAGCTTAGAAACTGGACCCTTCCCTCCCTATCGTCTTCCTTTTTAAACAAATTGCAACCCTACATGGATCAAGTTCTGATTGTGCACATTGCCACAGTTCTGGCACAAAAGCCGAAGGGGCGGAGAAGCACAAAGGGTAAAGTAACTACTTTTCTGGGATGCCTCCTCTCAGCTTCTCTTCCCTATCTCTGCGGACTAACTCTAGTTTCGATGGGGTGCCCTCTTTGGAGACTCGGCTCACTCTAGTCTCCATTAGGTCACGGTAATGTCAGCCCTACCCCATTGTCTAGGGGTGGGGGGTCGGTGGCACAGCAGGGCCGGGGGGAGGGATTAGGTGACACCTGAGCAGGTAAACTACACAGGAGCTAGGGCAGAAGAGAGGGGAGGGGGGGGGTGTGGCTCAAAGACAAGGACACTACCACCTGATCCGCCAGAGAGGCCCTCATTTATGGAATTAGGGCAGATGAATCTCATTTACTGTTAAACTACATGCTGATGAGCTGTTGCATACCACAGTGCTCCACTTCTAGGGTGACACTGTGAACACAAAGTTTGTTCAAGAAGTTTAATGCAATCAATGCAAAAAACCAACCCACATCTCAAGTATGTTAGCAACAGTAATGTGGTTTAGTCGAGGCAGCACAGTCTGTCCCTGACTCATGTTGAACATATTCTGAAAGGCCTGGGAATGCTGGGAAAATGGACACAAATCTTTAATGCCCCTGATCAGAGCGGGGTATACCGTATTACAGGAGATTACACTTTATCTCAGGCGTAAATACATATGAAAATGTGCCATTTCAACCCAGTGCCAATTTAGAGATTTACTGAAAAAAAAAAAAAAAAAAATCATATTTCATAATATGCAGCAGGGAAGAAGGGAGTGGTTCCTCAACTGAACTGGAGTGAGAGAACCGGCAAGCCCGAAGGCAAAGATACAAAACTGAGTGATGTTTATCAAAAACATCTCGGTAATAAAGGTTGATCTGAAAGCTGAAATCTGGCCAAAGTTCATTCTAAAAAAAATCACAAAACCGAGGGTTGCTTGTACCGTTTTCCTTTTTTTGAATACCAACCAAGATTAACTGCATAAAGATAAAGAATGTAGTTCAGCATCGCCATGTATTTAGTTTCATCAGTTCCTATGAACATTCAATTCAGCTTGTATAAAATTAGGTTTAAGCAAGCTTTCGTTGGATCTGTATGCTCCACCATGCAATCTGAAATTTCCAGAACAATAATGACATACAAGGCCCTACAGTTAAGCTCCTCAATCACTACAGACTCTAATGAGAAACTGCAAACACCCAGTGAAGACGGTGACAATACAGGAAGGGAATTTGTTAGATTGCGGTGGTAAGAACAGCACATGGTTGGAAAATTAGTCTATTACAGGCAAGAGTGAAAATTGGGACAGAACAACAAGGCGGAATTTGTAAGTTGGAGATGGTTGGCTGATGTATCAGACCGGCTCTGCTGAAACAGTCAGGCTAGCTGATACAATCAGCTGGAGTGATCATTACTCTCAGGTCCAGGCCTGGGCTTGCCTTCTCTGCTTTGACACTTCTACTCATGGTCTTCTTCCCCTCCCCCGTCTTTCCTCTGCTGCTCCTCTCTCTCTCTCTCTCTCTCTCTCTCTCTCTCTCTCCCTCCCTCCCTTTCTCTCCTCACCAGCCTCTCAGCGGGCATGCAGACACATCCCAGGAACAGTTTGCCATCCCGAACGTGAATCATAATGTGCTATTCGGAAATACATAACCCAGACCCAGAGTGTGCTACACGGGGCATATGGCACTCAACCCTGCAGGCAGGCAGTAAGGGAGAAGAGGGCTGCTGGAGAAAGAAGGGCCTCTGCTATGATGCCAGCCAGGAAGCCATATATCAGTCAAGTCTCTCTCTTAACGTACACACACACCTCTGCAGGCTTTATGGGGGGATTCAAGAGGCTTTTCCAGCAGACCGACATAAAAGGGGGCTGGGCTCTGAGTAGAGAAGCCAGCTCAGGAGGGGAAGGAGAAAAAAAAAAAAAAAAAAAAAAAAAGAGCCATCCCCCACCCCCCTCCTTTTCTGCGTTCTCTCTCTCTCTCCTCCCCCCATCACCCACACAGCTACCCTCTCCCCCTGGCCCCTCCGGTGCTGTGCCGTGCCGGCTGGATTCCAGGGAGCTGCTAATGGATTACGGCTGATCTATATGCAGCTAGGGTGGGACACGTGTAGGCCCAGCTCCCCTTCCAATGGTGCTGCCCAGGAAAACAGGCTTAATACCACAGGGGACAGATAGGTCTGCACCATCATGGCAGCTCCATCTGTGAGTGCAGGGTGCTCTTTGCAGTTTGTAGAAACATTTCCAATATCATAATGAGGCTGTTATTCTTTTCCAGCATCACAGCCTTACTGTTATGGCGAAAAGGCAGGGATGGATGAACCATTAGAAAGATGATACTGCTAGAACAGCTAGAATGATGTTTCCAGTATGCAGGATGACTAGTTCATATGTATGTTATGTAGTTGGCGAGCAGCTTTTCCAGCAGGATTGGATTCCAGTATTTTTAAGCCCTCGGCAAAGGCTGACAAGGAGATTGAGAGATGGTGAGATAGCTGGTCAGGAGGGCTGTGAGAAACAAGACTTGCTCAGACCAAATATGGCACCACATACCAACCAAAGCCAGCCATGGGCTTGGACTGCAGACCAGGGTAGATGTTGCCCTTCAAGCATAGCCACAGGATCAACTTACCTTGCCTGCAGTGTTAACCTTTTCAAAAACTGACTGTGGTTTAATGATAGAGGCCAACAGCATTTTAAAAACACAGCAACCTACTGTTTGGCCTGAACCTGGACTTGTTTCAGGAGGCTGCTGGTGAGGACATGAGCAGACAGGGATGTTTACAGGGACTTGACAGACATGATCAGGAAACGTATCCATGTGTTGATCCGGGACTGAAAACTAGTCAGTATCGAAGTGCCCCCAGCAGTGAATTAATGTTGGCCTCTCTCTACATTAAACTGGTTACACCAGAGATCTGGATGATCTGGCTTTACTTCATTTACTGCTGCCAGTCATTGCATCCTTTTTTCCCAAGGAGTTTATGGATTAAACAGCGAGCTAGTAAACCTTTCAGAGTCAGCGTTCATGCGGCGAAGGTGACTGAGAGAGCAGTGGGCTGTGGCACTAATCTCCTGAACAGAGGGTAGAGAGCCAGGAGAGAGGGCAGAGGTGAGGCAAAGTCCTGTGGCGCAATAACAAAACACACCCTACTACTGTGAAAGGTCATCTGCTAACAACCAATAGAAAACAAGACTGAGAAGGATTTTAAAAACATATTCAACCGAAGCTTTATTGCAGGGTGATCTTTTACACCATTTCCTTTAAACAATATACAGTAATGACCGTAAACCTGTGAGGATGGTCGCACTGAGCAGGGACAGACGGGGAGCTAGAGTTAGATGTGCAGGTACAAGACTTTTGTAAGCACACAGAGAAAAGGAGCTAATCATGTACCCCAGCAAAAGGCCTTGATGTGTGTGCACACTCGCAGACAGTGCTCTTAAACACATGCACGCAGCACACACACACACCCAGAGAGTATACTGGTGGGCAGAGGGAGTGGGGGAGGGGTTAGGGGGATGGTACAAAGCCAGTTTGAAATACAAACACTGAGCAACCACCTCTGAGCCATTTCAACATGGCTGACGCTGCTGCATGGGTAAGGTTGATCCAAGCAGGACTCATGGGTACTGCAATTATCTGAGTTTCAGTTCTCTCGTGAGCAAAAGGACGGCTCGCAGTACAATGAGGAGATTAGAGAGAACAGCTGTGCTTTTCAGCTACCCACTCTGTGTGTTCCTTTTCACCTGTGTAATATCTGCTGCGTCGGAGGAAACGCCATACACATCTCTCTAATGACTTCGACATGATTTCGGTTTTAAGAAATCAGGCTAAGGCAGCAAATTTGAGAATGCTGTAAAACAAGCAGGTAAATGGAGGTGGTCGGCGTATTAATGGTGGAGAATATTTTCCCTTTTTTCCCCCCCAGAGCATTTGGCTTCAGCAGGCTGCGCAGTGGGAGAGCAGACAATATTTTCTTACTGCGTGCATGTTTTACAAATAGTCTGCTGTTCGGCTGTGGAAAGCAGCTTACTTATCTCTTTTTTTAATCAGAGTTCGGATTGGTTACAAGGATGCACTTATACGAGTAATGATGTTTCCTTTCATCCTGCCACACTGCTGCCAAAGCGATACTTTCCCCATCTGAAGTCTTTGTCATGCACATGCACGCAAGTAAAAGCCTTTTCAGAAAGCCTGTTAAGCGTACACATGGCAAAGAAATCAGGTTTCTCCAGCTGAAATCTAGCAGTTTTAACCAGGTTTGTCTTAATCCCTTACCTCATTTACAAAAAAACTGTTTTTTCTGTTTTCATGTTTAAGAAATCAGACTACTGCAAAAA